ACCGCTGCTCACTTTGTGGCCTCGTCTCTCAGCCTAACCTACCCCTGAAGACCTTCAACTTGTTTGGGTAGCGCACTTGTGGCCAGTGCAGTTCTTTCGGCAGTGGTGTTGCACGTTGTTCAAAGGACCACCGTTTCTGCGATCTCATTGCACCCTTCTGCACTGGCCGCAGCTTCCAGATCAGCTGTAAGGAGAGTCGCACGCAGTGTCCTGGGTGGAGGTAGCTGAGCAGTTCTGCCCTAGAAAACTCCCAGCATGCTCGCTGTCCACACACACCTGACTTCTGCAGGTTCTTAGGCTGTCCTGCATCACTGTACCAGGGTAACATCCTAGCTGCTGGGATGCACTGATGCCACATCGCAAGCCATGTCACTGTACCAGCCACTGCACCTGGTAACGTTTGGCTTGTGGATGAGGCCAACCAATCTCAGGACGAGAGTATCTTGTGAGATCCACGTGGTAGGATGTGGTTGGGAGCATGTGACCAGAAAACCAAGGACCCAGCATCAAAAATCAATTCTGCAGCCAGCGCCTAATACAATGACAGCGGAAAAGTGACTAAAGTAAAGGTAAAGGGATCCCTGACCATTAGGTCCAGTCGTGGCCGACTCTGGGGTTGCGGCGCTCATCTCGCTTTATTGGCTGAGGGAGCTGGCGTACAGCTTCCGGGTCATGTGGCCAGGATGACTAAGCTGCTTCTGGCGAACCAGAGCAGTGCACGGAAACGCCGTTTACCTTCCCGCTATAAAGCGGTACCTATTTATCTACTTGCACTTTGACTCGCTTTCGAACTGCTAGGTTGGCAGGAGCTGGGTCCGAGCAACGGGAGCTCACCCCGTCGTGGGGATTCAAACCGCTGACCTTCTGATCGGCAAGTCCTAGGCTCTGTGGTTTAACCCACAGCGCCTAGTCATGTTTTAAAAAGGAAATAATATGTACTAGGACCCAGGATATTGTTCAGCCCAACCCTCAATGTCCAGCAATCAAACCATGGTTATAATCAGATCACCTCCTCTCTGCCATTTAATGAAATCATCAACAACATTGCTGAAATTTTAACAGTTGCGTTTTCGTTGTGTTTACAAGCCGTCAAACAGTGAGAGGGGTGCAGAATAAAAATGCTCAGTCAATGAATAGATTTCTTTAGTCCTGGCTTGTTTACATGAACCTCAGTACCTAAACCCATGTGACTCAAATAACCTGATTACAATTAAGTGCTCGTTTTATGGACTTTAAAAGGAAGCAGACTGGCTTAAATCTAAATCTAGTTCATGGTTCAGGAACACGCAGAGATTTATCTAACATTCCACAGTTGCTTCCTGGGACATCTGGTGATGAGACATTTGCCCCAGGGGGGGTGAACTGCTTTGGTTAACCTTTGGCCTTTTAAGTCGCAACACAGAGGCAATTTCTCTCACGCACATTTCTTCACATCGAGTGAGGCAACTTTACTCCAGGGTGAGAGAACCAGAATGTGCCAACTGCACATGCACAGCTGAGGCACTGAAGAGGGGTGGTGCAGGAAATGCCCAAAAGAACAAAATTTGGAGCAAATATTTTGAAACAGTATAACAACAACCCTGAATTTAAAGCTATCGACAAATAGAATGCACCATATTTTTCGCTCTATAAGATGCACCAGACCACAAGACGCACCTAGTTTTTGGAGGAGGAAAACAAGAAAAAAAATATTTTGAATCTCAGAAGCCAGAACAGCAAGAGGGATCGCTGCACAGTGAAAGCAGCAACCTCTCTTGCTGTTCTGGCTTCTGTGATAGCTACACAGCCTGCATTCGCCCCATAAGACGCACACACATTTCCCCTTACTTTTTAGGAGGGGAAAAGTGAGACTTATAGAGCAAAAAATACGGTACGTTTCTATCTGGTATTTGCTCCACTTCAAACTTTGGATGCTCCAGTTGCACAAATAGTTTGTGCAGGACAAATTGTCAAGAATGATGCTTTGTGTGTGCGCCTCTTCTTTCCCCCAGTGTTCGTTTTATGAGCACCCAGCTGTGCCCTGACACTAAATAGAAGATGTAAATAAGGAGTTCAGGTCTGAACCCCCAAAACACAGTTTTCAACCTCCACAAGTAGCCATAACTTAAGGCTGACATGGCTATTTAAACATATTTATTGGGTGAAGAAATACAAACACAGCCGCTTGAGACACACAAAAGCCATTTCAAGCAACTGGCTAGAGCAAACAAAAAAACCTGGAACGTTGCAAAGACCGTTAAGCAGAAACAAAAGCTCCAGGTCAGAGGGAGCACAGATTCAAGACAGCAGGTGTGCAACCTTCAACAAGGAGTTAGTTGAGTGGAAAGTTATTTTCCTCCCCTCAGTCAAAACAAATTCCTGCCCTATTAAAAGCACCACTTCAAATGGGAAAACATCAATTTAGCACCTCCTAGTGGACTCTCAAGGAAATGCAGAATAAAAACTTTGTTTTCCTGGCCAAACTATGGATGATGATGATGATAACAACCACCCACCCTTCATCCAAAGGTCCCAGAGCAGGTGATAGCAATTTAAAATGAAACATTAAAAAAAGAAACAGTTCAAAACAACTTAAACTCATGAAAATAGGGTGGGTCCTCAAATACATACCTCTCAGGGCCAGGTAAGTGGTACATCTTCAGCATTTGAAAAAACTGCATAGTGAAGTTGCTAGACTGACTTCTGTGGGGAAAGAGTTCTACAACTTAGGGGCTGCTTTTATTAGTCGCTTTTTTCCAGAAAGGTTTGCTTATTCAGTTCTCATATTTAATTGGGTGACTTGGTCTGCAGCTTGCATCGTTATAACTCAAAGAGGATGATGCTTCAACACGCTACAATACATACTGCAGTCAGAACTGAAACAGGGAACAAGGGCTGAGGCCTCTGCCTTCTACCAAGTGCGAGAAATGGCTTATTTCAGAATAAGTTAAAGGTAAGGTAAAGGAACCCTGGACCAGCCAAATCTGACTGGGGTGTGGCGCTCGTCTCCACTTTCAGGCCGAGGGAGCCTGCGTTGGTCCACAGACAGTTTTTCCAGGTCACGTGCCCAGCATGACTAAACTGCTTCAGGTGCAACGGGACACCGTGATGAGTGCCAGAGCGCACGGAAACACCGTTTACCTTCCCGCCACAGTGGTACCTATTTTTCTACTTGCACTGGCATGCTTTCAAACTGCTAGGTTGGCAGGAGCTGGGACAAAGCAATGGGAGCACACTCCATAGCAGGGATTAGAACCACCAACCTTACGATCTGCAATCCCAAGAGGCTCAGTGGTTTAGACCACGGCACCACCCTCGTCCCCATGGAATTGTCTGCTACACAGAAGGGGAAAAGCTCTCCAGGGCTTCAGACAGAATTCTCTGTTGGTTGTACCTGGAGATGCTGAGGACTGAACCTGGGACCTTTGGTAGGCAACTTTTGTCCAGAGCCTCCTTTTCGTGTCTGTGAGGGGAGAGACGTCTGCTTTCCAAGCTGATTGGTGATTCTCATTTGACGCCTGAAAGCACACAAGGATCTGGGTTATTTACTACACTCATTGTTCTCCGAGAACACAGACTGCTCCTGGAGAACATCTGTCACTTGCAAACATACTGAGCACAAGCAGTCAGCACTTTTTTGTGAAGGCGAAAGCTCCCAAGTTAGCTCTTAAAAGTCAGACCCATTTTTATCTATCCTTTTAGCCTGAGCATATGCTGCATGAATAAGCAGCACCTCTGAAGACAGGCACCCAATTAGCATTTCTTCTTACTCCTGGATACCAGATGGAGGAGCAATTGTGTGTTCATCCTAACAAATGCTTGCAAGAAACTGCAACTCAAGTGAAGAATTTTAAAGTGTTAAAATGTCATAGGTACTAAGCAATAACCAAAAATTAAAAAAAAATATTCAGAGCTTGCAGCTATGTCTCTTGAAGAGACAAACTGAAGGAACGGTTTCCTGTCACTTTTTCTTCAAACCAAGGCCACAAGAGTAGAGCATGGGCAGAATTGGCTTTCTGTTGGATAAGGGCCATCTCCTTGTCAATCTCCTGATGCTGTATGACACCAGATTTTTATTTCAATCTGAAGCAGACAAAGCTTGAATTGAAATGAACTCAAGTGCCAAATTGGAAAGGTGGGGACTTCAAGCCATGGCTGCCAAAGAAGAATATTTCCTTTTGAAATCAGCTTCACCGTAGCTTTACCTATTCTGCACCTGAGATCAGGTGATGAGACAGGTAGGTGTGGCTTGGCCAAAACAGCCTCGTGAGCCAAATGTGGAGGCCTAGAGGCTCTCACAAGGCTTGCAAAGCTAAAGGTTCTCCACCACTGTACTACAAAGTATTATTTTTTACTCACTTTATCATCTTGTGTTAAAAAAAAAATCCTTTAAAATCTGAATGACTGAAAGATGACAGAAATCTAAATACAAAAGGGTCATTGCTTTTTAATGGTTCCTACACTACTCAGGATAAAGTGTAAGTATTGTCTGATTCATATAATCTGCCTCACTTTCCTCACTGTTCTCAGAAAAGAATATGCAGACATGTTATAAAAAAAATTGTTGCTGCTGCTGCTGCAGAGATGCTTGATGGCTCTAAAAACTTGCAACACCATTTAAGGCAACTAGTTGGTTAAATTCAAAGAAAGCAAGGCGGGGCTAGACTTACAATTAGGCAGAGTGAGGCAACAGAGTTTGAGATAGCAAACGTCAAATATTTTGGAACACTGTGTGTTTGTCAAACATTCTGCTGTTTTCTTGCTTGCGTCCCAACAATGCCTTCTTGTAGACAAAGTCCTTTTCTGAGTCTGAGGAAGAAAAGTCAGATGGCACATCTATGGTGGTAAAAACTAAAAACGGCAAGAAAAGTACAACTCACCAGGTGGTGGGGGCATGGCGAAATCCTATTAAAACATATACAAAGCTTTGTGTGACTCAACACAGATATTCTTGATTTATAGGAAATTATGGAGTTTTTTATTATGCACATTTTAGTCAGTTTTGGAGTAAGGATACCAGATACACTTCCAAACATATAGTTTTATTTCAGTGACCTATTTACATATTTTACATACATTTCAAAATAGCATCACTATCATCACCACAATACATTGTTGAAAACTTCACCCCTTTAAAATGTCATTTCTTGATTTTAGAAACAAATATCTTCTACCCCAATGGTAGTTCAGTAAACAATTCTCACATTTTTTTCAGTTTCATGAATGAACAGAACACTCTGAAATTCCATAGCCCACACAAATATTTACCACAATATTCTAAAAGGTTGTGTTTTCATTAAAAGGGTTCTAATTGAAACATTGTGGGTTTATAGACATGACATCTAAAACAATACCAATCAATGCATTCTATAATTTCCTGTATAATAATAGAGTCCATAAATGTGCTGTATGGTTGGCAATGCTTTTTGCTCCCTGGTCCAGTGGTGAAATCAATGTTCAGTAGACGTTCTACATGTTCAAGAACAACATTGTCAGCAGTCAAACTTTTGTTCAATTCATCACTGCTTCTTTTTTCTCATCTGCTCCTCAGGGTCTAGCTTGCGTTTCTTAAACGAAGCAGGTTCATCTTTTTCATCATCTTCAAATAAAAAAGCATTTATAAATGCAAATATATGCATAAGCTTGAGGTTTTTAAAGCCCCATTTACAAAAGCTTAGTTTCAATTCATCTGGCATAATGTGTCCAGTTCTTGGAAACACACTTTGGAAGAAGGATATACTGTAGAATGGTTCAGAAGGTGGCAACAAAAATGATCAGGAGTATAGAAAAAAGTCCTATAAGGAAAGGTTGAGTGAAGGAATTGGATATTTTTAACCTGGAAAAAATTGAGGAGGGACTTGATATTCCTTGAAGTGTGTGTTTTCTGATTTAGCAGACTGTAGGATTACATCCAATGGGCTTAACCTACAGGAAAGTATATAGTTGAACATCAAGTGGGAATTAATGGTAAGAGCAGTTCAACAATTTTTTAAAACGAAGTGTTTGGTACGGGAGGATTGTGTTGGCACATCTCTGTGGCCAGTAACGGTCTACAGTCTAGTAGTTTCTACTTGTGAGCATCACTCATTAAGCATGGGGTAGAATGGAGGTACATTTTTATATATTAAACATTCTAGTCAAAGCTTGCATCTTTAATAGGAATAGCAGTCAAACAAAAAGCACACACGGAAACAAGGGTCCAAAAGAAATCTAAAATAGCGAGTTAAAACATTTATTAGATGCAGCAATATCCTCCAGTGATTTAAGCGATGAAAAACTCAGAGTTAGTATCAGAATATTCAGAGATTGTCCTGAAGAAGAAACTATTTAAAATACCTCAGAACATGACACACACCTTCATTATCAAAACAGAAAGTCCCGCACATCAGTAAAAGCCAACAGACAAAAGTGGCTTTGAACGTTAGGAAAGCGAAGGAGGAAGAAGAGGAATAGATATTATACAGTGGTACCTTGGGTTAAGAACTTAATTCGTTCTGGAGGTCCATTCTTAACCTGAAACTGTTCTTAACCTGAAGCACCACTTTAGCTAATGGGGCCTCCCACTGCTGCTGTGCCACTGCTGCGAAGCAAAGAACTGCTGAAGCAAAGTTCTTAACCCGAGGTACTATTTCTGGGTGAGTGGAGTCTATAACCTGAAGCGTCTGTAACCTGAAGCATATGTAACCCGAGGTACCACTGTAGTCTGAAAATACATGAAGATACAGCCTTGCTGATGTTAAGCAAGTCTGGCTCTGATGCCTTGTGACTACCTGGGAACCACATGTATGCCATCTTGGATTCCATGATAATAGAAGAAAAGTTGGACATAAACATAATGAAAATGAATGTCTTGCACTCCCCCACCCTATTTTTTCCTGCACTATTCAATCCCCATCTTGAGAGGGAGATGCAAAGATTCTGTTATAGGTAAGCATGCAAAAACAGGAAGTGCCTTGTACTTCCTGTGCCCCCGCATTCCATGACAAACAACCCAAACTACCTTCAGGTGTAAAATTGTAACAGGAAAACTATGCTGCTTTTACTATTACATCGCTGAAAAAGCCACGGGATGTATTGCTGGTTAAAAGTATGCCTGGATTCAAAACTATACTATACAAATTGGCATTGATGGAAGTATCTAACTGGCACGGGGGAGATTTAAATGAAATTATTTTTATACAAAGGGTTACCTGATTCTACGTGCTCTTGCTCCTCTTCTGCTGGTAAGAAGTTAACTTTGTTTGGATTCCTTGGAGCATCATCACCATTATCTTCATACATATTGGACCATTTGATTGCCATATCGAGCTCAGGAGGTGGCGGCGGCTTTGTTTCTTTGACACTATAAGTTTCAGGGGGTGGAACAGCATGTGTCGTCCATGCCTTGAACTCTTTTGGAGGCTGTTTGGGGGAACACATTGGATTAAAATACTGTGCTGTCAGAAGACCAAGTGCAGGGACTACGTATCTTGTAATACATTTTAAAGGCATAGGTGCAATCATGGGCACAAGCTGTTTTGCTCTCATATCTGAAAATGTAACCAACATCTAATGAATGAGCAGTATCACTGATGAATGAATAAAGCAGCAACATAGTATCATCAATGGTTTAAGCAAATCAAAATGGTTTAAGCAAATAAGCCAAGCCACTCATTACAAGGATAAATGGAGGAGGAATACAACAACAAGTAACCCTGATCTAAGAGAAAGACTCCATCTTCATCGCAACTAGGATAAATAAGTTCCATATTTTGGATACAAACAAGAAAGCAAACCCCACTGACCAAGGAGTTCCGTATCTTTAATGCTAGGCTTTAAAGCAGCCTCTGGCTCTAGGGAAGGATTGGGGACCTGAAGCTCTCCAGATGTTTTTCGGTGTCAACTCCAACCAGCTCCAGACACCATGGCTAATAGTCAGGGATGATGGGAGCTGGAGTCCAATGTATCTGGAGGTCCACAGAATCCTCATCCCTTCCCCTAGAAAGATGGAAGGACCAACACAGGATTTTCATTTAAAAAAATTAATTATTTTTATTATTAATTATAAAAAATTAAAATATTTAACACTGAGAAGTTGTAAAGAGACAAGTGCTGCTGGGGCAACTGCTGTTGCCCTATGGCTGGACCTTCAATGACAGCCCTTTCTGTTCCCAGACAAACAGTCAATACCAGAATATCTAGATCTGTGGTTCCCAACATGTGGCACACGCCCCACAGGGGGGCAATTTGATTTTAAAGGGGGGCAATTTGAGAATGAGTTAAACCAAGTTAATGGCCTTTTAGGCTTCCTCCACATGACTAGGAGTTCACTTTTTGAATAATAAGAATTATCGTATATGTCACAGGATTTTAGAGATGCTTAGGTGGGGCACGGCCAAAAAAAGGTTGGGAACCACTGATCTAGATACTATTTTAATGTGTAGCCATCAATTATGCATAGCCATTGATTATAATGTAATTAACATCACACACAACTTTTCAGCGTTCCATATGCACCTGAAACTCAGGATAACACATCCGATGAAGCAAACCAACACTTAAGATAGATTTGTGTGTGTACATGTGTGTATATGCTCTAGGTGGGGCCTAAAAGTCTCAAATACCCTCTCCACCCAGGGTCTCCAATAGCCCTAAACCAACCTTTTTAGGCCACAAGCCTCCCTAATAAAATAAATTTAGGACACAAGAAACACAAGTATAGACTGCCAGGGGCACCCGCAGCCGGAAAAGCTACAGGCCCCGGCAGTGAGGCACACATAGGAGCCAACTCCTAGAGCCAAAGTCCCTTCAGCCATCCCAATAAAATATGTGACCCCCCTCCCAAGTTGCCATTCAAATAGTGTGCGTGTATGCACTGTTGTGGTCGGTTATGGGGGAGCTTACCTGTCCCCCCAAACATTTTATTTACCCCTGGATGCACATCATGCGTGTATCTCTCCCTATACAACTCCGCCCTTTAGGAATATATGTTAGGTCTTCCCAGCGTGGTCCTCCCCTCGTCGCCCGGTTCTTGCTGCTGGAGAGCGACCCCCCAGCCCTCCCCTCCGCAGCCCCCCGCTTCTTCGCCACCCACCTCCTCGGGAGCTCGCAGGACCCGGCTCTCCCAGTCGATCTCCTTGTGCAGCGGGTTATAAAGGAAGGCCGGCCGGTGGACGCTGCGGAACAGCTCGTCGGGCCCGGGCAAGCGCGGCCTGCCCTCGGGGCTCCCCCTGGGCAGAGGAGGCGGCCCTTTGGCCTCCCCGCCGCGGCCCGAGCCGGGCCCTTCGTCGCCTTCGGAGTCCGAGCCCGCGCTGTCCGAGCTGTCGTCGCTGGCCCCGTAAGCGGCGAAAAAGCCCAGCGGGTCCTTCCCTTCCGCAGCTGCCATGGCGGGGGACCGGTGCGGCAGAAACACCCGCCCGCGGAAACAGAGGCGCGAGGAGAGGGAGGTTCCGGGGAAGGGGGGGACCAAAACACCACCCTCGCCCTTTCAGGCCTGGGGAAGGAAAGAGAGGGGGCGGCCGAACTCAAGCTGCCACCTCGGCTGGGAAAGAACTCTCCTCCTCTCTGCTGCTGCCCCACTTGGGGGAAATATACAGTATATATATCCAGTGTTAATATATAACTTGTGTTGAAGTAGATGGGGGCTCTCACGCCCAAGTGAACGTGTAAGGGATTGCAGACCCTCCAAGTGTTCCTATTTTCCAGGGGCGTCCCTGATTTAGAGAAGCTGTCCCGGTTTCTGATTTGATCCACTTTTCCTTAGGATGGCCCTACCTTTACCTTGGAGAAATGTTGGAGGGGAAGGAATAGGACCTCCCTAGTGTCGTTGGAGAAATGTTGGAGGGTATGGAGTTTATGCGACCGCCGAGCGGTCTGAAGGCAACCCTGTATAGGAAAGTTGTGTTTTTTATGTTTTTATATATGCTGGAAGCTGCCCAGAGTGGCTGGGGCAACCCAGTAAGATGTGTGGGGCATAAATAGTAAAATTATCATTATGGAATGGAATGTCCCTATTTTCATCGGAGAAATGTTGGAGGGTATGGGATTGTAGTCTAGGAGTCACATCCACTTAAAGCACATGGGCCCCCGTCCCCCAAATCCTGGTAACTTTAGTTTGTTAAAGGCGCTAGGAATTGTTGCTGAGTGTGGAGTAAAATAAGAGTTCCCAAGATTCTTTGGTGGCCAGGAACCATGTGCTTTAAATGCCTCCTTTATGGGCTGATGTTAATATGTGTTGAATTATTCGAAGTAGTTCTACTGGGCAGTGAAGTTGAGGATGCAATGGAAGTGGGTTGCTTTGCCTGTGACTGCTACACAATAGGCATGGTAACATGCTCAAAGGCATGTTCACTCACCTTTGCAACAGGTCTTGTCATGGGCGTAGCCAGGGGGGAGTGGGGGCAGCTGCCCCCCCCCCCAAATCAATAAAAATCAGTAGCCAAGGTTCTGCCTCCCTAACAAAAGGCATAATATACCCATGGGTCCTATATTATCAGCAAGCATTCTAGCTATTGTACATCTTGCTTCATTGCTCACAGCTACCTAGTTTTCCATGGCATTGTGGGCTCTACTATGTTGGAGAAGGTGCTCAGCAGCAATAGCATTGATGTCCCTTCACATCTCACCTCTCCATAGTGAGAAGGGCCTCAACACTTATCACCAGTTCTCTCCACTCCAGGAGAGTCTGCAGACCATGCAGATAGGTCTTCCAATCCCAAAGGGGATTGCCCCTGCAGCAAAGGCCAAATCCAAAGTTTTCTCGTTCTGTGCATTGGGTCCCTGACAGTCCCAAAGTTGCCATAAAGGCCAAGAGTTCCTATGGCAGCCTAGAATAGGCTCTTCCAATGTCATCTCTTCCCATTTCGTCAGGGAGGCTGTAGTGCAGCAGGGTGGATGGTACATTGCAGGCATCCCCAATCTGCCTCTTTGGGGCAAGAACAAATGAAGTCCCTCTAGGCCCGGAGTTAGCAAACCTTTGCAGCAGGGGGCCGGTCCACTGTCCCTCAGACCTTGTGGGGGGCTGGACTATATTTTTTGGGGGGGGATGAACGAATTCCTATGCCCCACAAATAACCCAGAGATGCATTTTAAATAAAAACACACATTTTACTCATGTAAAAACACCAGGCAGTCCCCACAAATTACCCAGAGATGAATTTAAATAAAAGGACACATTCTACTCATTTAAAAACATGCTGACCATCTGCGGGCTGGATTTAGAAGGCGATTGGGAGGGATCCGGCCCCCAGGCCTTAGTTTGCCTACCCATGCTCTAGGCCCACTCCAAGATACAGGGATTTCTTTGTGATGGTAGTCTCTCTGGACCACAGCAATGCCTCATCACCAGTCTGTATTAGTATAGCACCAAGTACCTGGCTGAGCAGAACTACACTCAGCCCAGCTCACAATGCTTTATAAAAACACATGCCAACCAAGGATCACACTACATGCATCTGATGAAATGGACTCTGGTCCACAACGACTTGTGCTGTAATAAATTTGATGTGTAAAATGCTACAAGACTTTGCTATTCTGTGTGCAACAGGATATAAAAAGAGCACAGACCTGGTTACTCAAAATGCTGCAGTTAAAGGAAAAACTAAGCTTCAAAGAGCAGCACATTACTGGAGGCTTATAAACCCTGGTACTAGCTGTGTGGTCCAAAGTTATCCCAAATCCTCTCTTTTCCAGCAACCATCAACAGCTGAGATTTTACTCTGGCCACCTACAGCAGATCCAAGCTTTGGCAGCCATCAATTTTCCAAAGCAACCACACATTCAAACACTGATATCTTCCACCCAAATATTTCTCACCTTATATTCCAACAGAGAAAGGCAGAGTATGGTCAAAACATTATTTCATTTTAAAATTCATTCTTACATAATTGACTGCAAGGACAACAAAAGCCATTACAGGGAAGGAAGAAAATATTTTAACACTCACTGCCAAATTCATTGATGACCTATCCCAACAAGTATTCTGGTGCAAAATATATTTACAAACATATTAAATAACCTTAGAGTTCATGCCTTATGTAGCCATATAGCCTTACTTGGATATAAAGCTTTTGTTATTTTACACCCTTGCATTACCATAACAATCTGCTAGAATGCATTTGTTATGTCATTTGGCTAGCATCAACTGTGGTTTCTATAGTATTCATGAAAAGTTACAATGTTAGAAAGAACTGTGACCAAACCAATCTCAGCCCACTCCTAAGAGTAATGCCTTAGGCCAATAGTTATGGGTAGAATTAAGCAGAAACAAATTATCATATTAGAAGAAAAATATTCTGCTGAGGGCACCAAAACATTAAGAATTGTGTGAGACCAGGGTCTCTCTTCCAGCACTTTTTCCAACAGCAGGCAGCCCGATTCTTCCCAGAAGTCTACAAGCCAAGCATGAAAACAAGCCCATTGCAGTACACACACAAGCCTCTAATATGCAGAATACATGGGTTCTGAACATGGATGTTCCTTTTCATTATCATGGCTAATGTATCAGAGCCTAGTGCTGTAAAGGAACCTGTTGAAGGCTACAATGATCCTCCAATTCTGAAATACCACAAAGATATAACCTGCTCTAAATGTATTTTATTGTCAGGTGTCAACAACCCTTGAACAATGCTGCTCAGCAAAGCCATTAAGAACACAGCTGCCACTGAATAGAAAGCAAACTTAGCACATGTGAGGTGTACTTTAAAAAAACACACCACCTAATGACAATTTATTAGAAATTAATGCTTCTCAGATTGCTTGTTTCAAAAGTTAAACTCTACAAGAGAAATATTTTTGAAAAGTTGAGTTTAGAGTTTCCAAACAATTTTTCAGTTCAGTATTGTTTTATAATGGTTGTACCTTTTTGGGTGGGGGTAATACAGCAGTTGTGAACAGTCCGCAATTTACACAGTAGAACACATTATGGTCAGAAATAGTCACAGAAATAGTGGCAATTTCCACACAAGTAATTATATGGATTATATGGGATCACATGCTTGGGAGAGGAATAAACCCTAGTGCAATTTCAAAATCTAGAAAGCCATAAAGCTTTTCAGGGGAAAACATCACACAATATTAAATGTTAAGTTCACGGTTGTGTGAATACAAGGTTTTGTTTAACACAGCAACATCTAGAGTAGGTAATCAGATAAAGGAACTTAATGCCCTGTAAATCACCAGCATGGAAGTTTGAGTTCAGGCAAGCTACATGGCAAGCAAGTACTTAATACACTGCGACAGAACCACCACCAGATCAGTTTGTGTTTAAGATCTACTGTGTTCTGCAGACAGTGACCAGTGTAACTGACCTATTACCATCAGATCAAATGTTCTTAAAATATTTGCCTGTAATCCTAATACGGTGGGACTTACTTCTGAGTGAACATGCATAGGAACAGGCTGTAAATTAGTGTAATTTATTGCACGTTTTAATCCAGGGGCTTGTGAAAGAAAAATGCAGGCACATTTCACAATACGTTAGTATTTCTGAGACAACTTTTTTTTGGCTGGATATAAAAAAGGCACTGCTTCCCTGAGGTTTACAGTAGACATAGTTACTATAGAAGACAGCAAAAAACACACTACATCCCTGATAATGCCCAGAGCGCAAATACTTTTTAAAGTGTATACATCTGGAATTTAAAAGAATATCATGTTCGTTTACTTGTACATTCGCAAATGTTGAGAAGTACACATCTTTAGTAAAGCTAAGCAACAATAGTATTAGAACAGAAAAGAGGTTTAGAAAAAATAGTATTAAGAGTAGAAAAGAGGTTTAGAAAAAAGTTTTTAAAATGGCAAATCCTGGAAGTTTACAGGAACGTAAGGCCCCTCTTTACTGCCATCTTTCTTTTGCTGATCTTTTCCCTCTTAGTTAGCAACAATAAATAAATCCCTTTAGTGGCTTGCAGGGAATTCATATTCGTAACAACCTGTTTCACTTTGAGAGAGTAATTAAGCTGTTAATTTTAGATATATATTCAGTATTGTAAAGGAGCCCAAGGCATATGTACTAAAACGAAGTAAAATGCCTAGAAAGTTAAATGTTTTGATAGTGAATAAAAATGAATTTGATTTGCGAAGTGCACACTTAATTGCTTTTGAAGATCAGCGGCAATAGAGTATTACTCAGAAGATCATGTCTTATTCCAAAAGAAGGCACTTAACCCTACAGCCTGGAATTTGTTCATGTCACACAAAAACTGGACAAGGCAGGCACCCCATGATACATTACAAAACAATCATATACTTGGGTTGCAAACCAAAGAATACGTCTCCCTATGTTCCGAGGCTTCTTTACTTCCTGTCAATAGTAACCAAGCAGAACTTACCAATGTAATGCCAACACCAGTGAGATGTAAGACTCACCACCCTCATTCATGACTACTATGTTCATATCAAAACTTTCCTCGGTGCAAACTTCCCTCCTCATGACACTTCATCAGCACGAATTGATGTAAGTTGAGAGAAAACTAGGAAGTTCTCAGGAATCAGCAAGCCCAAAAAACCACCAGATTAAATTGTTCTTACGATGCAGAAGAGGATCAAATTATGCTTTCTCGGTGTGAATTTTATGCAGACAGTGCATATAGAAAACAGTAGGAAAAACCTCCTTAAAATGTTCAATTGAGCATCATTTTGCCTATATTGTTTTTGAATAGAAAATACCATTTAAAAGCTTTTACACTGCAAAAAAAATCAATAAAAGCATACAAACGAACATTTAAAATATGAATTAATGGGGAAACTGTTCAGATTTTTTTTTATAAAAAAAACTTATAAGATGCAGGGAGCTGTCAAGCTATTTCTTGATCTATTGTGACTTTACAGTTAGACACTTTTTTCCCCACCACCCAAAACTGTTCAAGGTATCCAGCATGATAGTACTCAAGGAAAAATATCGCTACGGAAGAAGAGAGCGGGATCTTAAAGGCAGGAAAGGACTGTCACTCGAAGTCGTACATGTTTCCTCTTGTTCATTTTGCAATTGCGGCGGAAGAGGTGGGGCTCCAGAATCTCCAGGGCCGGGAAGCGTGGCTGAGAAAACAGAGTTTTCCGTACTTCCAACCTCAGTAATCGGCAAATTCATTGAATGAAGAGAAGCGGCGGATACAAAAGCAGATGTACTAAACTCTTCCGGATGAAGGTAGGTGGTTTCTCTGTCTTTTTGTTTCTCAAAGAGATTAGATTCATTTGACTGTGATCTGGAGAGATTGTTCGATTGGTCATACCCTGAAGCCATGCAGTTGCTACAGTTCAAGCCTGTAATAAAGACATAAAATGTATCATTTGCATACAATTTACATAGTGTGGTGGTTTGTTTGTTTTTTTAAGTCTACAACACTGCCTCTTGAGTCCATGCAAGTGGTGTTACGAGTACTGGTTCTTATTTTTAAAAATTGGTGTTACGTTGACCACTTTCCAATCCTCAGGTATAGAGGCATGTAGCTGACCACTGTGAGAACAGGATGCTGCAGTAGATGGGCCATTGGCCTGATACAGCAGGTTCTTAAGAGGTAAAATTAAAAGGCAGAAACCAATCACCAATATAATCCAATGCAACTACCCAGGCCAGACATGAAACACTCAAATAGAAACATTACATTAAGTTCTTCCACATATCCCCTTTCCAAAGGACACCCCCACCCCCACCCTAATGCTATCACCTGACTTTGACCAAACTAATTCTGGTCAGTAGCTTGTGCCTTGGGTTTATTCATCTTAAGTACAAAAAGAGGACCAAAACCCACAGCTGACAACTGAAGTTTTACCTGGCATAAGTCCCCCGAAATCAGCAGAACACATTTTTGAGCAAACACGCACAGAAGCAGGTTGCATGAAAATTAATTTTTACAAAAACCTTTTGGAATACATTCAAATGCATGTTATTCCATTTACCTTTGAGGCTTTCCAGTTTTTCATTTTTTGCCTTCAAGACAGCATCGGTTATCTTTTCTAACAGGAAGGTCTGTGTTTTTTCCCATCTAATAGATTCTATTAGTGCATCCAGTCCTTTGGGATGTTCTGCTAAGTAATCCAGCAGCTTCCCAGCTTTCTTCCTACTTGAAGATCGACAAGAGATTTCTTCAGTGTCCTCTCTGCTGAGTATTTTTTTTGAACGTAGATAATCAAAGTGTCTTTCTGCAATAATTTTGTCACACAGATAGCGGCGCAATCGTTCCAAAACCTAGCAAGAAGAAATGACGAAGTTAGCAACAGATGAATTTTTCATCTTGTATGTTGTGCTATGAATATATGTGTGGTAGTTCTTGGTGCACATTCAAATACTCATCCTAGCTTTCAAATTGTAACAAATTTCATTAATCGCTATCATTGACCAACACACACACACACACACACACACACCAGAAAGGAATCAGATGTTTCAAGTTAAGGTAAAGTATCTGTATGTTGACTACAGAAACAAAAAGGAAATTGCCAGCAAGGGGTTACCAAAGGTGTTTCAGCTATTTCTCTCTGTAGTATTCTAGAGCTCCCCAATCAGCATGAAAGGGGAATTTTTTAGCCACTGAGAAGAGGTCTTCTCACCCTTTGTGCACACTGGAGCCAATCCAATTGAAAGGAGGAAAGTCAGCCTCTGAAGATTGGCTCCTAGGGTCACTCGGGTGAAGGTCTATGGAAATAAAACTGAGGTGTATACTCCAAAGCTTAGCATTTAGGAACACTGAAAACACAAAGTGCTCCAGCTTCAAGAGAATGGTGCTCAAATTCTGTTAAGTACAATGGAACTTGGAGGAAAGTCACTGTGAAATAAAATATTGCAGCACTCCAAATCATTTATTTGTATACATGCATAGAAAAAAATGTATCTAGCTGAAAAGCAACAAGTGGAGATCTGCATTGATGAGTATAATGCACCCCAAATTATTACTGTATAATTACGTATATTATGGTGCAATCTAAGAAGAGGAGCGGCTGCGACATCATGGACCTGCACTTCCTAAATTTGTCATTACACTACTGCTGTGAACATAAACTGTTATTACCCTCTGGCCCAGCATAAAGTAATAACGTACTGAGAGAGATTTATGGTTCTGAACAAACATCGTATATTCCACACATAGTATGTGGACTTCATAGCAGGAAAAAATAGAACTAGCAAGAACTACTTTTATTGACTCATACATGTGTCAAGCTCAGAAACAAAAGAGGGGAATTCCTATAAACACTCCAAGAGAAACTCCTACGTAGAAATTTACAAACGGGGGCAGAATGCATGCGATTTAGTGGACCTTCCTTCCTCCTTTTTAATGTTCTTCTAGGACACGAAAGGGCACTCACCCAGAGACTTTTCTGCAATTCAGAGAACCTCCCCTGCCCCCCAACAGTGGCATTCCTGTGAGAACATGCCTCACTGCTAGGAACTGCGATTGACATTACTCACAGCTCTCACCTAGTACAGTATATTTTACGTTCTAATACAGCCCGTCCAATGCAGGCTGAGCAGTGGGGTGGGTGCACAGAAGCAACCAACTCAAAGGGGCTGGGGTCTCTTTGCCCCTCCCCCAATAAAATATTTAAGGGGGCCAGCCCCCCCTCAAGTTGATGGACATGGCCATTCAAGCAGTGTGTGAGCAACACATCATGCGATCCATTGTGTGGGGGTGAGGCTTACCTGGCTCCCCCCACCTAATGTTTTATTCAAGTCGGCACCCCTCGGTGGGTGGTGCACTGGGGACCAAGCATAGAAGGGGTGGAGGTGGTGAAAGGAATACAGAAACCTCCATTATGCTTATTATTATTATTATCAACTGAATTTATATACCACCCTATACCCAGAGGTCTCAGGGGCAGGTGGTTCACAGAATAAAAAATACAAAATTGCAAAAGACACAATCAAAATAAAAACAACCCAATAACTACCCCACCCCAAAAAACCCCCACATTTTAAAAGGGCATATGACCTTCACACCATTACCCCAGGACAATATCCATCTTACAAGCCAGAGCCAGGATCTTATCCAGGACACCCGCAGGTATGCATTTCCTCCTTCTCACCCTCTTGCTACAGAGCATGGGGTTTTTGCTGGGAGTAGTGGGGCGGGGGGGGGCAGACTTTGGTTAGTGGGAGTGGGGCAGGCCCTCCATGAGTTAAGTATTTTTATTTATTTATATTGATCTGGTGGCGGGGGGACGGGAGCTACTACGCCCATCCTACAGAGGCAGGAAAAGGCATCTCCCTTTTTCCAGGAGAGAAACAAACAAAAAGGCGGGAATCTTGGCACAGAGGAGCCTTAAACAAACCAGCGCTTTTTGCTTTTAGAGAACACGGCAGCCTCGGCATTCACTGCCTTATAAACAAGCACCCCGCCACACGCCCCCTCCCCAAAAGCTTTACCCCTCCCCACCGCTCTCCCCATTTCCCACGACACGCTTTTCCATTCACACGATACGAATACCCCCCCCCGCTTCCCCTCCCTCCCCGCGTGTCTGGAGGGGCAGAGGCTCCTCTCCCCGTTCTCGCGGTCCTTACTTCCTTCTTCACCTCCGCCATTTCGTCGTCGGTGAGCGGCCGCCCGGCAGCCAGGAGCCCAGAGTCGGCCATGGCGGAAACGGCTTCGGAGGGCGACGGTGAGAGGGCGAGAGAGGGAAGGGAAGAGAGGGAGGGAAAGAGAAGGGAGCCGCTGCCCCCCTCTTGCTCAGCGGCCCTTCAAGCCCAACTCCCCCGGGGAGATGCCGAAGCTTCCGGCGCCGGGGTGGGGAGAAGCCCCGCCCACCTCTCTCTCGAGGCCACGCCCACTCCCCGCCGGCCGTGGGGAGAGACCGCACGCAAGGCTTACCGTTGGCGCAGGCGCAGGCGCGCGCTTCAGGACGCTGCTGTCTTCCTGCCAAATCGCAGGATCATACCATTCGAAGGGACCGCCGGGGGCCATCCAAGTCCAACCCCCTGCAAACGCAGGGATCTTTTTGCCCGGCGTGGGTTTCGAGCCCATGACGCTGAGATAAAAGAGGCAACTCGCTCTACCAACTGAGCTCTTAATCTTATCTATCTAGGCAACTGCCCCCCCTCCAAAAAAGTAAATCAATAAAAAAAAAATTAGCTGAAGTTCCGTGCCCTAATACAAATCGTGGCAGCGCTCTTTAACTATTGCTAATCGTTTCTGCTTGGTTTTTTAGTGCTTATTTTGGCTGCGTTATTAATATTATTATTCTTTCTATATTTATCTACATCTCGCTTTTCTCACAGAACCAGGAATGTTCTGTTTTACAATTTAGAATACTCATTTAAACATCCTTAAAATACCAGTGACTTCCCTTCCTCTCTTTCCATGGTTCATTTGGCATATCATAAATCCCTTCGTATTTTACACAAACTAAGCCATTCAGTATTCCATTATTACATCCATCAAAACTTATTTACACTGTTGAATTTATCTTAATGCTGCCAACGTTTTCAAGTGTACACAATTCCCGCCCCCCCAGTCAGAACCATGATTCAAGGTGGCTCAAAACTAGAGATAGAACACATATAGCTTAAAACATATAAGGTTGTGGTTAACTATTGTTAACTAAAAAATGTAAAATAAAATAAAATATCATTTGTTCATTTATTCACCATTAGTTTATATCTACATCAAGCTTCCTCAACCTTCAGATGTTTTTGGCCTACAACTCCCATGATCCCTAGCTAGCTGGACCAATGGTCAGGGATGATGGGAATTGTAGTCTCAAAACATCTGGAGGGCTGAGGTTGAAGAAGCCTAATCTACATCCATAGACTTGCACAGTACAGTCATGGATCTGCTGCTTCATGGCACAAAAACTTGAACCCAAGGCATAAATACCTAAGAATTTGTGTTTGACACACACACCCTCTGTATCAAACAGCATAATATACATGGACGCAGATGTGCTCTGTGATTTGATGGTGGTTTGCCGGAATCACATATAAAAATTCGGAGGATGCGTGAAGATCTGTCCTTAAGCTCCATACTGGTTCCATAGTGTTATTTTTACTGTACAGTCCGAGGACACGGGTGTAACCTTTTTCTTCACTCAGGTTTGGGGAGATGCCAGGAGAAAATCCCAAGTATTCCGTGAGGATCCACACCCTGTAATCATGTTTTTGCACTATGACGATGCCAGGAACCAGTGCCACACCTGTGATTTTCCCAGTCTAGTCTATGGATATGGAAACGATCTCTAATTTTATAGTGGTTTTGCTGGGAATCTGTACAAAATCATGCAAATTCTTTGGGATGCATGTCTTAGATTTGTGTATTTGGGTGCAGTGAATCTCGGTAGTGGCACCCGCCCTGTGGAACACCCTCCCACCAGATGTCGAAGAGAAAAACAACTACCAGACTTTTAGAAGACATCTGAAGGCAGCCCTGTTTAGGGAAGCTTTTAATGTTTAATAGACTATTGTATTTTAATATTCTGTTGGAAGCCGCCGAGAGTGGCTGGGGAAACCCAGGCAGATGGGCGGAGTATTAATAAATTGTTGTTGTTGTTGTTGTTGTTGTTGTTGTTGTTGTTGTTGTTGTTATATTATTATCATTATTCCTGTGCAGTCCACAGGTACAAGCATGAACTATAATTTGAAGGTAATTTTAATAGGATCCCTTGTAAAAAAAATCTTTAAGAATTGTACTGTACTGTACGTACTTCATTCCAGCTGAGACAGCAAATCTCACAGACAACTCTCATCCCTCTGGCAGCAAATATACAACAATAAATTAAATAATGAATTAAATAGCTAACCTTTTGTGACACCATCACACTATATGCTTCTTATGGTTGATCTAGCCAGGCCCTGAAGCCATTTTTAAGAGACGTGTTTTTTAGTTTCTTCTTTCTTTGTTTCTTTCCTCCCTTTTTTACAGTCACATTCTATCATTCTATCAAAGTAAACACTTGTGAAAAGACCCTTTAAATAGATGTTCATTTTAGCTAACTAATGTTAACAGATATGGGAAACACAGAACTACCTGAGGAAACTATTGTGGGATTTCCCTTTGTATGCCTACTTGTAAGGCCTTAATCCTGTATTTAAGTCAGACTCATTTTTGAGTAGTCATGTGAGTAGGATTGCACTGGTAATAACACTTTCTTCACTATAGTCTGAGGCTAGTAGGAATAATATAATAGTCATATTATTATATTACAGTGAGTGAAAAAAGTATTTGGTCCCCTGCTAAATTTGCCCGTTTGCCCCCTGACGAAGAAATGACCAGTCCATAATTTTAATGGTAGGTTTAGTGTAGCTGTGAGAGACAGAATAACAACAGGGAAAACCCCAGAAACCATTTTTTTAGTAGATGGTGGAGACTGTTATTTCCACAAAAGTAAAACATGTTTTCGATAATGTCAACCTTCCTTCAAAATACTGACTGTTATGCTAAACTATGGGAGATACAATGCTGAAGCAAATTTGCGGCAGTGCTATTTATTGAGTTCCCACTAGAGGTCTCTGCTGTTTAATACTTTCACCCCAACAAATCTCTCCCCACCCCCCCCCAATCATTTCGAGCATTACTTTAAATTCTTATAATTTATAGCTGCTAGATTGAAATTTCCACCTACATTGTAGAGAAACGGGATAGAAGTGTATGGAGAAAGTGGCTAGAGAAGTTTCTCTCTCTCCTAGCACTGGGACTCTTGGACATCATGGGTTCATGTCCCATGTTGGGCAAAAGATTCCTGAATTGCAGGAGATTGGACTAGATGACCCTAGTATCCTTTCCAACTCTATAATTCTATGAATTCATGGCACACAAACAAGGCTTGGGGTAGGAGACAATGCTGAAAGAGATATCCTCTCAAGTCATCGTGTTCATGATTTGACACAATTGTGTGCATACTTGTTGAAGCTGCTTGTGTTGTGTACCTCTGTATTGAGTAAGGAACTAGCAACCAGGAACCACATTCAGTCTTGTAACACACAACCTCCCCCTGCCCCCTCCTTTGATACCATATCTGAGAAACTCTCTCTCCGTGTAAGCTGTCGCTTGGTGAAATCAGTTTTCCTTATCAGGAAGAGGAAGATTTCTCTCTCTTCCTTCTGAAGGAGCTCTGAAAGGAGATCACTCAGAATGATTGCTGCATCCAGGTCATCTACATGTGACGTTCATAGCTCTTGACTCTTTAGCTCTCTTCCCAGCTCTCTCTGCTGTGCAGGTAGTGGTTTTATTACCACCCCGCTCCTCTTGCAGTCGCATGATGAATCCTTGACAATCTGAACTTCTGTTGGCTCGCAATCATCAAAGGTCACCTTGAAATAGGCGGCAGACTTTTAAGGAAAAAACACATCGTGCATGCAAATGTCTTCCTAAATGCATGTAACATTTATTACCTTTTACTGTTCTGCCAGAGATGTTTTCTTGGAAACGTGGCAACAGCACTCGTCCCTGCTTTTGCCATGGCTGTTGTCTGTTTCCTTCCACATTTAACGGCATTTAACGGTGATTAATTGATAAATAAATCTAAATATGAATAAAGCAGACATGACAATAGCCTGATGGATCAGGCCAGTGGCCTAGCTAGTCCACATCCTGTTCTCACAACGGCCAACTAGATGCTTGTGAGAAACCCACAAGAAGGACTCAAGCACAAGAGCACTCTGCTCTCCTGCAGTTTCCAGCAAGTGGTTAATGCAACCTTTACTGTAATATATCAGCTATTTGTATATGTGTGTGTCTGTGTGTATAGATAGATAGATGGATGGATGGATAGATAGATTCATTCTCTCTCTCTCTCTCTCTCTCTCTCTCTCTCTCTCTCTCACACACACACACACACACACACACACACACACAAATACAAATCTATATATTGTATTAACGTAATGTGATTTATACAGTATGGTAAATGTTACATGTCATACCAGCCTCCAGCTGTCACTAGATGGTACTACACTGCTGTGAAAAACTCTTCTCTCTAAATATATCCTCTATATGCTGTTCTTTTTTAGACACACATACACACACACACGTTTTAATATTATCATATATGATAATCAAATGCAGGTATAAAAATATAAGCAATATACGTAGAACAATAATATAATTATTCTTTCTTTAACCTAAATGGTTTTGCTATTTTAAAAAATGTAAGAGCATTATCCTCTCTTTAAAGAAGCAATCCTACACACAGAGTAAGTTCAATCAATCACAGTGGGATTTACCTCCAAGTCAATATTTGTAGAGCTGAGCTGGAAAGTTCTCTGGACTTAGCACGAGATGCTGTCTCAGTTCAAAAGATATCACGTGAAATCGAGCCACAGGGAAGCTGATGCTGATGAAACACTGCGACTTTAGGGCACCTCTTCATGGATGTTTCTCCTTCTCGACTCTCTGCTTCACAAGAGCTCCAGTTAGGTACAAGTACTTACAAATGACACACCAGTGATTAGTGGTGGCCCACCTAGCAGTTCAAAAGCACGTCAAAGTGTAAGTAGATAAATAGGTACCACTCCGGCAGGAAGCTAAACGGCGTTTCCATGTGCTGCTCTGGTTTCACCAGAAGCGGCTTAGTCATGTTGCCCACATGACCTGGAAGCTGCCTGTGGACAAACACCGGCTTCCTCGACCTAGAGAGCGAGATGAGCGCGCAACCCCAGAGTCGTCCACGACTGGACCTAACGGTCAGGGGTACCTTTATCTTTTTAAAGTGTTAGAATAAGTGGAAACAGGAGAGATGCAGGATCTGGGGGTGAGGTGCTCATCATGATCTTGCAAATTATCTCCATCTGAGCACACCAAGGAAGATACGGTGGCCAGTTATTTTCCATATTGACTTGTGTTTTTTCTTTCCTGAAAACAACAGCATTCACATTTATGTACTATTTTATATCAAAATACGATTTTAAACTGCATTTTGCTCTGTTGTTTTAAATTAAGCACTGTGTTGCATAATTCAGAGCATGAGAAAACCAAAGGTAATAATAATAATAATAAATCAAGCCACTCTGGGTGGCTATGTTCTCTTCTTACAGAAGTCTGGGAGGCACTGATCAAATCAGAATCTGAAATAAATCAAATTTATCAAACATCCCTACCTGCACCCTCACCTACAATAAGGGGATAATAACACAGACCCATCTTACAGGATGGTTGTTAAGGACTGCAATAATGGTTCATTAAAGTAGTGTGGAGCATTAAGCATTAAGTACTCAAATTATCTAAATAGCATTACCAATATAATAGTTGGGAATATTTTGCTTTTATGAACTATGGGTTGGATCCATTGTTTGTTAAGACTTAGGGAACCATCCTAACCCATCAAAGCTGATGGCTGGGGGGAGGTTAGGATGAAGTGCAGTCCTCTCTCCACTGGTGGAGCAGATTGCCACTGATTCATGAGGACTCCGACCTCTCTCCAAATAGCTAAGCTGGATCCTATGTTGGCCCCATTGCCAGGTGAGGGGGGCAATGGAGCTGGTGCAGGAAAACAACAACAACAAACCAAGAAAACCACCACCCCATTCTACCTTGAGAGACTTCTGCTGCAATGGTGGTTCTGCCACTCTGATCACCCCCACCCTGCTCCATGCAGGGTTTGGTTTGCTATGCCCAGCAGTGATCCTGTACAAACTTAATTTGGGACTAGGTGCTACTGAGGTCAAACAGACTCAATTCTCTATAGAACAGAGCCAGCCCTACTGTTGGGAGAGTGAGGCAACTGTGTCAGGCAACTAGTGCTGGGGGGAGGAGGAGCAGCAGGAATGAACCTTCTGGGTCATACCCTCCTATTAAAGGACAGGGCTTTGTATGCCATATGGCCTGTTCTGCACCCCCCCCAATAAGTAGCCCATTGCCTTCAGGCAATATTCCATTACAATTATTGAAATAAGTTTCTATGGCCATTCTAGTCAGCTTCTGAATATAGAATTGGGGTGGAATCTTGTCCTTTGCCTCAGGCAGCCAAATTATTTGGGTCTCCCCTAGAGTAGACATATATAGAACTGCACTGCTAGTTCCCATTAAAATTAATGAGACTTAAGTCATGACTAATTTTTTCACATTGATTGCACTGTGACCTAAGTCACAAACGAGATTTGTCAGTATGTTTTTTTTAATGTTTCAATTATGTTTATATCATTGATGTTCTGTTATGTGTTTTTAATGTTGTACACTGCCTTGGGGTCTTCTGATAAGAGGTAGTATATAATTTGAAGAATTATTATTATTATTATTATTATTATTATTATTATATCCAACCCAATGTTAAAAAGCAATGTCTGTTACTAAACTCCACTTCTCTAGTTAGGCTGCATGGCTGGCAAAATAATGCAAACTTTTGTGTAAACCCAAACTAAGCAGAAAATTCAAGTCATCTGCTGGAACAAAACACACATGGTCCAGGTGCAACTGACACTTTATTCCATAGTGATATGTGTACATGAAGTACTGAAACTGCAGAAGACGAAACAAAATGGAAAATCTGGGTCAACTTTTTCCAGTGTTAACAGACTATGGAATGCGTGGATGTTTGGCACAAAAAAGTGGGCAACAATATACTGGATTGTAATAAAGGTCTCTCAAAGGTAACAGAGTCTAAAATACTGTGGTAATTTAGTAGTCATATCTGTGCATAGTAAAGCAACACAATGCACTTGATTCATAGTAGATCTCATACAAGCTACACCATCAAGCATCCAGTGTCAAGCTTTCTGGGAGTTCAAGTAAGGTCCCTGATATTTTGCTCACAGCTTCTAACAGATGAAAAAATGCTCTTCAAAAAACAACAACACAGCCTCTCTTTTGTATGGATATGTACCAACTCCTGAGAAACATTTGATTATTACTCAAATGGATTCTGCCCTGCCTATATTTAAATAAGTGCCAAAGTTGTACCAGAGTTTGCTTTCAGTGAGGGAGAAGACAGGGAGGGGGAGATTTTGACAGTTCTTCACTAAGCTGAACATGATGTTCTGCCTAAGCTATGATCCCATCTTATGGGACTGTTGTGTTTCGCCTGTCCTTAACAAAAAATGCCACAGTACACTTCTAAAACGGGGCATATCTGTGAAATATTTCAACTGAGTGTATACTTTGTGGTGTGGGTGGGAGTGGAAAAATGCCAAGTGTAGCAATGTAAGGTACATCATGTATACAAACTTCTTGTTGGCATAAGGAGGGGAACCTTAGATGACACCAATCACATTTTGTCCAACAAGGAAACCCACAAGTTGCATCACTTTCTTCAGCCCCAAAATAAACTAAACAACACAAGGATAAAAAGAAATGAAATGGGAGAGCTTATCTGGGGCTTCCAATTTTGTAACCACCAAAGTGTTTGGGGGGAAAGTGTAAAGTTCTGGGCAGGTCATGGATCACAGAGGAAACAGTGGGACAAAGTAAGTTGCAGAATACAACAGTGCTAGGCTTGCCATCTTTTCATTTAAGCAGTTCCGAACATTGAATTGGGTAGTGCAAGAGAGGTCATTTTAGATTTTATCAGAAGTTAAGGGCCAGTTTATGTCGCTTTATCCCAGCTCCTGCCAACCTTGCAGTTTAAACGCATACCAGTGTGAGTAGATAACTAGGTACCGCTGCAGCGGGGAGATAAACGGCGTTTCCATGCGCTCTGGCTTCCGGCACGGTGTCCTGCTGTGCTAGTCAGGCTTAGTCAGGCTGGCTACATGACCCGAAAAAGCTGTCTGTAGACAGATGGCGGCTCCCTCGGCCTGAAAGCAGAGATGAGCACCATAACCCATAGTCAAATTTGACTGGACTTAACTGTCCAGGGGTCCTTTACTTTTACCTTACCAGCTGAATCAACAGGTGGCAAATGGACTCTTACCAATCTAGATTACACTTCAGGGGAAGGGTGTTGCATTTTTAAAAAAATGCCCCCAACATACACATTGAAGAATTTTATAACATATCAGGACGGAGAGGAGGCCAGGCTGAACTACCCTCAATGGAAATAGAAGTTTTCTGAATACATGGTTATTTTCTATAATGGAATATTCAATAACAAAGTTCGAAGCAGTGGTGTGTAAGAAAGGTCTTACCATTTGAGTCTACTGATTGTACAACGGGCAATCAGATTGTACAACTGCCAAACATAGGCTTAAATAATGATTTAGATAAAGTTTCAGTGCTTTAGGCCAAAATTAGGTAGATGCGGGCAGTAGCTGAAAGCAACAGCTCCATACCCTTTTTCCTTTCCCCCAACCCCACCCATAACATATAAGGATACTCATTGTGATTATGTTACAAACCTCTAGATATTGAAGGGGAGAATTGGCTTTGGCAATAGCTCTGCATTAGCTGTAGAGTCTAGTTCCAGCCTCAGAAAGGAATTTGCTATGCTACAAAGTTGAACTACAAACATTGATTCTGGAGCATAGATTTCCAAGTGTTTACATATGCTTCCATGTGGCACACAATAACGAGAAGGGAAATGTACCTGCTGGAAGAATACAAAGTATGCACACATTTAAAGATCTAAATGAGTCTCTCTCACTCTACATTAACACCCTTTAAATTCTGAAAATCCCCCCATTGTGGAGGGATGTTTCTTGATACCGGGTGTGATAGTAATTTCCTGGACCATAATGATAAAAATCAGGAAAGTTGGCAATCCTAGAACTGTTGCATAATCAGGCATAGCAATCCATTTTTGTTTGTTTGTTTGTTTGGGAAACAATACAGAAACTGGTTTTGGAGCACAACATACGAATTTATCCATAAATAAAATTAATTAAACTACGTGCCCCAAAAGCCTTCAGTGAACTATCAAAAGCTCAGCAGAGGCAACCCATCACACAAATTTATACACAAAAAGCAGATGAGAAACATAATCTGCAAGTCTTCAATTAGAAAGATATATGCCTGGCGTACTGACAACACAGCTCTGAAGCTGGAATGCAGAGACAAAAGAAAGCATCAAAGATGAAGACCCTTTCACAGGAATTTGCAGATTTTACTTCCGTGGCAAGGGGTCCCTGCATGCCAGTAAAGGAGATTGATTGATTGATTGATTGACAGGGCGTCCACTGAAACATAACAGAGCAGAACTCTCATCCTTTGGGCTGTGGGGCTTGTGTTTGGGGAAGATGACTTCATACCTCTTCCTCTTTCCTCCTTCAGCTGGAGAGATGGTGACTTCTTGAAGAGTGGCTTTCTGCAGCTGTTTTTATTTCATTTTTCGTTGCAGGGATATATTGTCACAAAAATCACTGCAATTCTTCCACTGTTTTCTCTCTGTCTCTTATAAACTGAATTCCAAATGGTGAAAGAAATGCATTGCTTTCATATTAATTCCCTTTACCGCATAAAACCTTTCCCATATGAATCAGCCCTGCCTCTTTCATGAATGTTTATTTCACTCCACAAATTTCATGTAAACTCATTCTAAGGCTTCTGGCTTGATGGAACATGAGCAATACCTGACAAGTGAATAAGACGCAGTATAATTTCTCATCAAAAGGGAGAAATGAAAGGGCAAAAGAATCACGAACCAGAGAGTTTTTAAGTGTACTTAATCCTTCTAAAAGGCAACAGGATGATATTGGTAGCATTTTCCAGTTTACATTTCTTGGATTCCCTACATGGTTAAATAATTTCAGAGATTCTTTCCTTATTACTTGGCTACCCAGTCTTCCTTCCTTCTATGACACCTCCGCAACTAGACAGAATTAGCATTGGAGAATAGTGGCCTTAACCAGGAAGTTGATAAAATACTCAGACCGTATGTCAGCCCTTGGAGAGTTCCTAGCGCTACTTGAGCTAGATAGTATCTCCATACTTTGAAATGACATAACAGGTTTCAAGACAATGCAATTGTCTATATTCTTTGCATGTGTGGTGAAAAAACATATGACTAAGGCCTTAAGCGTGTTGCAGAATTTACCATAAGAAATATTTCTTTCAGCTGAATTCCACAGTAAACAGTCACACAATTAAAAGTTAGAAAAATCATCCAAGATATTCATTGTTCCGAGCACAACAACCTGAAAGCTTAGACAGAGTAGTCATGGCAGCCTGTTGGAAGACAACTCTCTTCCTTATTCAAAGGAATACACCACAGTAAAAAACCAAAGCAAAACTTCTGCAGCTAGAACTCCCGCAATCTCTTTCTCACTACCGAAACTTCCCAGGAAGTTCACTGTTGGCTCTCAGAAGAACTCTGATCAAACGAAAATTCAAAACAAAAAAAAAAACATTCCATGAAAAGTAAAGCAAAATAGGTGAAAGTGAGATGAAGAAGAAATTTGTTAACATCATTTGTTAAGGCCGACTGTACGGGTGTCAGAACATTAAGTTTGAGATTCACATGAACACGTGGATTATTCTTAGAACAAGATTGATATAAGATTTATTTATGAGCTATCTGCCTATCCAGTGGATAAACAAAGAGACCATTGTCTCAGCTTCTAGGATAAACTTACTAGTGGTTTAAGCCTTGCTGAAATTCAAGACTATCAAAATGAAATCCCCCTGAGAATCCTCCTCTGCAGTAACACTTTTTTCCCTAGGTGCCACCCGCCGTTTGCAATAGATTCTGCTCACGATTCTCTTCTAATGCACTTCCATAGCATGAGCAGCAACACAATACTGTGGAATAATAAAACACAGTACATTTCACACTGCAGCTGGTGCTCTAGAAAGGACTACACAGAAGCCCAGGTTCATGATGCTATCGAATTTCTTTTGTTTTAGTTACCTATAATAGGGATTTCTGGAAGAGAGAAGACAAGAGAAACGGAAGGCAAAGGTAGAAGGGGAGGGAGAAGGAGAAGAAAAAACGAGACACAGAACAAAAGAGAAAAAGTCAGGGATGAATAAAACCGAGGCTGATTTCTGCATTACTCTTAATGAGCACAGACGTCAGAACCAATGTCAGCTATAGATGTTCATTAGAGGCCTTTGCAACATGAGTATTGCGGCCAATGTAGATTTCACATTTACATTAAAAATGGATTGAAGCAAGAACTAATATAAGCCTCATGCGTGATGGCACGCTATGTAAATTTCAATCCCAACAGATGCCTTCAGCAAAGCACAAAAGCAACCCACCTAACACAGGCGCAAAGATCTTGCTTTAATGAGAAAGCATCCCAAAATTCAAGGGGAAATGACTAGAGGCCACCGAAGTGTAACAGTCTGATTTGAGGGCGTGAAATCCATCTTAATGCATCCCCAGTTAAAGGCATTGGTATTACTCTGAGCCCTTTATGTCCCAGCTATCGCTCAAGCCTGAGGTTATAGAAGTTACATGGCAGAAGTTACATGGCAGTCACATGTAGTCCTTTTGTAAAGAAAAACAGCTGTGGATATCTTCAAGTCCAAGTGGAGGAATAAGCAGGGGAGGGGTTGCTAAAGCCTTTCACATCTAACCATTCCCCCCCCCCCCCCGAAATCCTCCTCAAGCTCCTTTTTTACCCACGGGAGAAAATATACAGTGCCATAACTTTTCTCCAGAAGGTAGAAAAGATGCTTGAAGACCAATATTTAGTTTTAAAAAGTGGTCAGGAGGGAGAAGAGTTAATTAGTTCCTTCTGCCATTTCTCTTTTCTAACAGGAAGATAACCCGTAGCTTTGTTGTTATTTCTAAAGGTCATTTTTTTTGGCCATGAATACCTGGGATGGAAGGTAGGCAGATCAATGGGGAAAGAAGACGAGAAAGCCCTTATGGGAACAAATTTGAAATTCCCATGACGAAGTCAACATCAGCAGAAGCAAAGAGTTGGACCATCGGCCCCTAACCCCTGTATTACATTGGGGTACAAGGTAGGCAGTCATCAGCATACTGCTGGACACAATGCAACAATAAAGCTGGCTTGTGTGAAGGGAGGCTAAATTCTAAAAGTTATACTTTCTCTAGCACCTGTCCATATGTGCCGTTAAGGGGACTTGTCTTGCTTCATACATTTGGAATCCTGCACCTAAAGCACGCCTTGGGAGTGAAATGAACACAATATGCACCTGAGCACTCTATAAAGTAGCATTTAAGACCTGGGTCATAAGGTTTGTGTCAGTTAAAAGTAATGTTAGATGTGGCCCCCTACGTCTGCTTTCTAGATCAGTTTCACACCAACTATATAAACCACTAATCGTCATAATGGTCCAGACAAACATGCAGCAGAGTCCTTTTACATCAGAAAAAAGCAGAGATATATATATACACACACACCTTAATTACCACCTGAAAGGGCACCATTGTAAACAAAGGTTAGTAGCACAGTGGTACAGTAGATTGTCAAGGGAACCAATAAAAAGTGGGTACAGATTCGTCTGCCTTGCATGTACGTTATTGCCAGTTACAAGGGAGGAAGTCTGTAAACTCATAATTGTGAAGTTTTATTAATAAGGACAGAACAACAAGTGAGCGCCCCATCTATTTTTTCAAGCTCTGTGTTTGCTATAGGGATCAACATGTGGTCCTTCAGTTTTTCGAAGACCTATGGGGGAGGGAAGAAACAAGAGGGAAAAGGTGTTATATTTGCGAATTTCTTACTTTCACAGAAACGGTTTCTAAGTATTTAAATAAGAGGTTGCGCTACTAAAATTGTGCTTTGGTTCCATATTCACTTATGCCTTCTCCCTCCCCCCCGCTGTTCTGACTTGGAAATCTTTCTCACACACACACACACACACACAAGTCTACAGCTCCCAGATCACACTGGGAGCGCATATTTCAGTCTGACGAGGGCTAAAAAGAGGCCTTTAGGGGGAGCGCTTTCTGGAGGCCTGGTTAAAAACCTCTCTCGGTCCAATGAATTGTTAAAACTGGAAAGGGGATACAGGGAAATGATTCATCGGAGCAAAAAATGCAAGTGCGCTAATGGCACGAGCCAAGGAAAGACCTGCACAACTATCAGGTGGTTAAAAATCGCAGCATGTGTCGGCATCACTTATAGAACTGATTAAACCAAACAGTACTACGGTAGCAGCAAGTATCCCAAACCTGCACCCTGAATCCTTTACAGAGCAGAGATGATGGAAAACTTAAAAGAGCTACAAAGGACCGACTTAAGCATCAGGAACTGTAACCAGGTCTCCTATGCTTGAGGTATGAAAACACATATGAATGATACAAAAATGCTCTGCACTCAGGTACATCCTTGAAAATGGCAACCTTTGTGCCATCACCTGGAGCAGCTAAGAAAAGCTGTTGGAATTCACAGCACAAGACCCATTGCTTAATTTTTTTTGCTAGCACCATGCACATAAAACTTTCACCTTTCCACTCCTTTTTCCCTCTTTAACGCACAGTGCAAGGGGGAGTGGAAATGGCTAGTATCTGAAGGCACGGCTAAAGTAACGTTCCGCACCTTCCCTTACACAGCCACTATTAGTTTAGCATTGATCGGCACCTTATAAGAAGGAGATTTTATTCTATTTGCTTTTTTACCTTTGCACTTTCTGGATATTCCTCAGGGGCTCGGTGCAACAAGATGTGACCTTTGCCAGGAATGTTTAAATATATACAGTTTGCTGCAGCGTCGTCAGGAACTGTAAGCTTGTCGTAGCGGTGGTCACTCATCTGCTGCATCGTCTGTTATGGAAAGTTAAGATGGAGACCTTTAGAGCAAGATTTCATCAGTTGTAAGTGGGGGCTCTTCTCGGGGAGGGAGTTACAAGAAATAATTGCACAAAGGTACTGTTTCCACAGAGAGGTTTCTAATGCATACCAAGCACTTCCAAGTGCCAAACGCATTAGCACAAAGCAAAGTCACAATGAATTCCATTTGTACAATTTAGGACTGCATACTTTCCAAGATGGCGGAAGGATTTCTTAAAGCAAGTCTCTGAAAGTAAAGCCTGCTACTGTCTCTTGTGCGTTTCCATCAGTTTCTAGGAAAGAGCAATGGCATTTACAGGGCAAGTCTGCTGTACATGTTTACTCAGAAGTAAACCAGCTGAGTTCAGTGAGATTTACCAGTAGGTAAGTGTGTGTAGGATTGCAGTTGACAATAGCACATGCCCTCTATGGAAGTTTCAACCCTCAATTTCAGTTACTCAGAATGAAGTGATAAACTAAGCTGGACTGTTTCACTTCAGACTGCAGGCAGAAGCAGTGATACTTTTGATTGCCACAGAGGGAGCAGGAGTATATGGTTGACCACTATAGGATAAGGAACAGTGAACTAGATGATCCTTGCAACAGATTCATGCTCTTATATGCATTTAGCACCAATTAAATAGATAAATCTCAAGATCAAACAGGTGGCAGGAGGACGAGTTCTTTTGCAAATACTGTTCCTTTGCACAATATTTGGATTACCTTGATTGAGAATTAATTTAGTTTGTGCTAGATCTGTTCATAGTAAACCTGTCTAGGTTCCATTTAAGGTATATAAGTTATCGTAGCATCATTTTCCTGGTATCAGTGCAAAAAGAACCTACGATTGGATATGATCTGACACAAATTGGGTGCCTCACTCTTGAAGGGAAAAGGAAGATAAATCCCTGCTATTGTACTTTTTTATGGAAGCAGTTGCTCAGCTCTCAGGAATGTATTTTGAGTCAGTTGCAAACAATCATTTAAACAGAAGGCACAGAAACCAAACACCTTTTGATTTTGTTTACAGTATGCAACGAATCCTTGCAATATGTAACCTTATACTGAGCGATACTTTCCGAGAGATGTAAGACCCCCAAGTGAAACAGCAAATTAAACCAAGACCAAACTCTGGAATAACAGAAGGCATTTGGAAATCACATAGTAGATTACAAAACCAAAGATGTGAACCAAACACAAATATAGAAACAGCAAAGTCAATCTCTTGTGTTGTATACTATCCCATAGTTTGTGCACATAGTGTCTGTGGAAGAATATAAAATGAACCATTTTAAGCTCTTTTATTTACCTTAATAGTCTAAGTCAGAGGTTTTCAACCTTTTTGAGTCCACAGATCCCTTGCTCAACTACATTCTTTCTTCGGCACCCCTGTGGGGCTCAGGAGCTCAGATATGTCACCCCTTGCTTTCAGAGCTGGCAGCCTCTTACCCTTTTTATGAACACCCTCCTTTGTGGGGTGTTCTCTCAGCCTCCTCTCCTTGGGAGTCCTCCGGGCAGCCACTGCTGCCGCCCCTGGTCTCTGAGCTGCCCCCCTGCCACAAAGAGAGGTGCCTCCTCACACTGCCCCACAGGGGCCTGGGACTGGCTGGCTGGGCTCCCTTGCCTGCTTGCTTACTCCGAGGCCACCTCTGCTCCTGGCAACCAGCACCCCCTGGCCAGCCCCAGAGGCACCATTTGCCTGGGGAGCTTGTAGCAGGGCTGCTGCAACAAACAGCTGTGCAAGCCTTTGGGAGGCAGAGATGCGAGAGGACATCAGAGGAAGGGAGGGAAGGAAAGAAAGAAAGAAAGAGGGACAGAGGCCAGGGTTGCCTGTGGCACCCCTGACCATCATTCAAGGCACCCCAGGGTGCCACAACACATTGGTTGGAAACCACTGGTCTAAGTAATTAACATTTAAAAAGAGGGTATAAGGATGGGCCCACAGCTGTGATTTGAGGAGTCACATGGGGACAATGGAATATGACTTATACCAGATCACATTATTTCTCCATCCATGCCCTCCGACATTCCTTAGGTGAAAATAGGGACAATAGAAAAAGAAAGAGACAAAACACTTTAGAATGACTAAATAGCAGTGTTTTGTCTCTAATGTGACAACCTACAGGTCTACGCAAGAGGAGTCATAGCCATGTGGTGCAGGGATGGCTCTGCATTTGAAGTCAGCAATGAGCCAACTCCAATCAGCTTGACTGGGGATCAAACCAGCAATTTAAAGCATTATTGGAGAATGGTGTGTGTGTGTGTGTGTGTGTGTGTGTGTGTGTAATAGCTATTAATATTTATATTCATATAGTCTCAGGATACTTTTTGCATGTGACCCTTTATACAAGAAAGTTTAAAAGATGCATGCATGTTCTTCAACACCATTAAGTGTGGGGGACAGGAAAGTCAGCACGGTCTCTGGCAAGAGGTTTCCCTCAGCCATACTGCCCACCTGCACACAAGCCCACCTGCATCTATTCCTTGCTCGTCTATTATTTGCCAGGATTGGGCTGCATGCAGGACATGTAGGCTCTTGAGGCATACATGAATTTTTCAAACGTGGAAATTCCAGGTGCAGTTGACTGCTCACAACTGGAGCCAAGGTACTGCTCTGTAAATTACATTTTCATTTTTTAAAGTTTTAGTCTATAAACCAGAGTGTCATCAAGATAAGGATCAAAGCAATTAACTTCTGAACATGTACCAACATCACTGCTGGCTTTGAGTGCCTAACCTAATGAATGTAAGACTGCACAAGCACAAACCTGGCACATAAACCCATAATACTTTTCATTTAAATTCCATGTAGACAAAGGATTTCAGGACAAGTGAGTTCTTCTTGGAATACATCTGGGAACTGTGAGCTGGGAAAATGCATATTCAGAACCTTTAATTTTTTTTCCAAATTTCAGCAGTATCAGTGCTGCTGACAAAGTGCTCCAAACGAGACATCTTCCACAATGTATTGATAGCACAGCAAATTGCAAATTTATGCAGATAACTGAGAGAACCGTCTGATGAAATGCTGTTTCGTGGTGCCCTAAAACTGCAAAAAAAGTAGGATTTCATTCTGGGGCTACTAATGGGAAGAAGCTGCTCCATTTACCATTTAGATGCAAACCAGTTTTCACCACAATGCACCAAAAGGTCTTCCTGGAGCAAATGAAACCCTTCTCTTCCTAAACCTCTCTTTTAGCTAGCAGTTAAAAGATGGTAGTGATGGATTGGATTTTGCTGCAGAAAGGCCTTCTGAATATAAGATGATACAAGCATACAGTGGACCTCGAGTTACAAATGCCTCAGGTTACAAACACTTCAGGTTACAAACTCTGCTAACCTGGAAGAGTTACCTTGAGTTGAGAACTTTGCCCCAGGATGAGAATGGAAATTGTGTGCCAGCGGTGCAGTGGCAGCAAGAGGCCCCATTAGCGAAAGCACGCCTCTAGTTAAGAACAGTTTCAGGTTAAGAATGGAACTCTGGAATGAATTAAGTTCGTAACTAGAGGTACCATTGTATTTAACTCATTGCAAATGTCTCTTTATAGAAAAATTAACATCCATTTCGCCAGTGTGTGCTGTGTTTAAGATGTACTACAGGGGGAAACTTCATTATTGACAAAGATTAAAACAGTCACAAATTCAGTATGTGTGAATCTGGATTCCTGCCCAGAAACCTTTGCATGGCCATCTACACTACGAGCCTGGCATTTCCTTCATGCATAATTTTTCTGGGAAATCTGTCCTTCCTGTGCAGGGCAATTTTTGGTCCGCATTCTCCAAAGCCTGAGTCACGCTTTCCTGATGTCAAACAAAGAAATTTCCAAAGCCCCCAATCTCATTTTTTCCAATTGTGTTTTACAAGGCATACTTTGCCAACTGAAGTCTAGGATAACAAGTAATGCAATTAAATGTGCCCAGCAAAGACCCTAAACAGACTGAGTATTCTTCATTCACATGCTGTCATCCCAGCTCTTATTGTTCCATTGTGCCTCGAACCCCATTCCAGTCAAATCTCTCTATATTATTTTTTAATTTTTTAATGAGACATCACATATTTAGTTTGTTGTTCCTTTCAACTGCTAGAGACCTTATTTTAAACAGCTGGTGTTCAGGGAAAGAGTGAATACAGAACAGCCAACTTAACATGCGGTAGATATGGGGAAGGCTTATTATGGGTGGCTAACCTTTCCCAGCACTGACCCGGGTGGCGCTGTGGGTTAAACCACAGAGCCTAGGACTTGCCAATCAGAAGGTCGGCGGTTCGAATCCCCGCGATGGGGTGAGCTCCCGTTGCTTGGTCCCTGCTCCTGCCAACCTAGCAGTTTGAAAGCACATCAAAGTGCAAGTAGATAAATAGGTGCCGCTCCAGCGGGAAGGTAAACGGCATTTCCATGCGCTGCTCTGGTTCGCCAGAAGCGGCTTAGTCATGCTGGCCACATGACCCGGAAGCTGTACGCCGGCTCCCTCGGCCAATAAAGCGAGATGAGCGCCGCAACCCCAGAGTCGGTCATGACTGGACCTAATGGTCAGGGGTCCCTTTACCTTTACCTAACCTTTCCCAGCAGGCTTCCATCACTTGCACCCATATGTGCATTCATCACACATATGGCAAATATACACTCACACCAGCACCATGCATGTTGCACACAACAAACACATATACAGCATGCACACTGACCACACATGCAGGCACAAGGCACTCTTTCTTTAGTGCACCTCACCACCACCACTGCTTCCCCACCCCCGCAAGAAAATAGGTGCCAGAACTCACCATGAAGTTGTTACAGTAAGTCGCCAGGCTACTGGGGCAGCCCTGAAAACGTGCCGGTTTGACAACAGCTGCATTCACCGCCCATGGAGGTGCTAAAAACTACAGAAAGCTGGTTTGGGGGTCGCCCCTGATTCTGGTGTAGGTCCAATAAATGCACTCCTTCCTCATTCGTTCTCTTAGATTCAGGCGGATGGCTAGGGCAGCTTGGAAGGGCCCTCGC